GATGTTGATTTGCTTTAGTAGTTGTTTGGATGATGAGAATCTAAATAAATGAAAGCTTATTAGGTATCCTTGGAAAGGGTAGACGAATCCAGTACATAGAAAACTCTACTGTGGACATTATCTCAGTCGGACGGGGCTGAGAAGTCCCATACCGGATGGATTTTGGGATATATGGTTTACCTTTATACCAGACGGGATATCGAGGAGATGATGTTTTTAGCACCCATTACCAAATGGGGTGTGGGGATGGTTAGGTTAATTGCCAAATCATAATACTGGGTTCACAAGTAGAGAGATATCCCAATGGACCTCCATGGGTCCTAGTACGTAGGGTAAAAAGAAAGGATTATTGATCCTATGCATGAAATTGAAATGTCATTTAGTCAATTGTCTTCATAGGTCTATTTTAGAAAAAAAAAACCATAATGGTAAATATCGAATAAAATATTTTAAAGTTCAATGTATTTATTTAAAGTAAGGACTTCATTAGTTGTTTTTTTATTTTTACCAATCTTCAGTTTTCTGTATCAGTGATTAGTATAATATTTTTACTGGACTAGTGTAACTCACATTTTCATTAATCATTTCAAATTAAGGAGACCAAGATTCAAATCCCGATCATCAAGAGAATTGTGAGTAGTCCACCTCCCAAACTCCCTTCAAGTATTAGTGAAAGTTGTCCTAGGATACTTATTTATTTATTTTTTTTAATTATCATTTATCTTTTATGAACCACGTAAAATAGATATTCTCGTAGTCCTATTGAAAAATTTAATTTATTGTGTAAGTAATATAAATTTTAACATTATTATTCGGTTCCACATTTAAATTGTAAATTCATTTCATTTTAAGTTCAGGATCTTTATAGTCTATCAATATATTCCTAAAATCGTGTATAGTTTGCACGTCCTTTATACACTTATTTTCCTTGTGAAGGAATTACTTTTTCATGAAATATTACGTTTCTAGAAATAATGACCTCACTGGTCTCTTCATCTAGTAATTTGTATCCCTTTGTACCAAAAGGATATCCTATGAACACACATCTTTTTGCTCTTGCATCGAATTTTCGTCTTCTACTCAATAAAGTATATGTGAACGCTAAGCAATCGAACACTTTCATGTGACTATAATTTGGTTTCTTTCTATGTAGAATCTCAAAAGGTGTCTTCCCACTTAACATGGAGGAGGGTGTTCTGCTAATTAAATGTACAGCAATAAGAACAAAATTGCTCCAATATTTAATGTCCATTCCACTTTTGGAATTTTAACACCCTTGTAGTGTTGAGTATTTATTGATGTTTTCTCTCCACTCTCCCATTCTTTTGTGGAGTTTCTATACAACTCTTTTAATTTATGATTCCCTTCTCATCATAAAATCTCTTTATTTCGAATTCTCTTCCATTATCAATTCTATTTACTCTTAATTTTCTGTCAAATTGGGTATCAACAAAAGTGCAAAAATATTGCAAATGTAAACCTATTTTAGCCTTACTTTGCATCATATATACCTAAGTACATCTAGTAAAGTCATCAACAATCGTTAAAAAATATCTAAAACCATCATAAGAAATTTCATTACAAGGTCCCCAAATATCACAATGTATTAAATCAAAACATTGTTCTGCTTTATTACTACTATCAAAAAATGAAGGTTTATGCATATTTACCAATAGGTATATATAACATAACTTAGAATCTTTGTTTGCTAATATATCAAAATCAAAACTAGATTTGTATGAAGGGTGTCCAAATCTGTAGTGCCACAAATCAAAATCTCTCTCCTCTTTGCTGGAGTTTTGTAGTGTCATTCCTATAAAGATTTGTTGACTTGCGTTTTTTGAATCATTAGGCTGTCTAAGTTGATATAATCCATCCTTAATCTCGACCATCCCATGTATCTTTCAAGTCAAAAGGTCCTGAATGATACAATGTTGTTTTAAAAGAATTAGACAATACTTAATATCCTTTGTTAACCTTTTTGCAGATATTAAATTAAATCTAAATGAGGGAACACATAACACATTATTTAACATAAGTTTATCACTTAATTTTACTACTCCTACATGAGACATATCTATAGTTTCTCCATTCGGTAATACAACTTTAAATTTAATATTCGATGTTTTCTCAGTATATAATTGTGGTGTGTGTATTATGTGATCTGAGGCCTCAGTATCAATTATCCAAGTTGTGTGCGTGTTGATATTTCTATTTATTGTGCATACATTAAAACAATAAAACATACCAGAGAATGCTTTGAGTTTATGATCTTGAGTTTGCTCTGAAGTTGTTTGTACCATATTGACAGTAGTTTAACTTCGTTGAATAAAGGCCATAAGTTGGTGGAGTTGATTCTTTATCAATAGATTGTGATCTTCTCCCTTGAGCTCAGTTTGTGCATCAAGAGAATATACCTGATTGATAATGGATTGTCTTATCTTATTTTAGGTCCTTTGTCCCTTCGTTTGGTTTTATCTCTATAGCATACCTCAGCCGTATGTCCTGCCAAATTGCAATTGGTGCATACAGGTCTATTTGGATTAGCCTGAAAGCATCTTTCTAAAGAGTATCCAGTCTTCTTACAACAGGTACAATAATACTTCTCCTTATTTGGGCTGGCAGTTCTCTGTGGCTTATTGGCCTCTTTTATGCTAAAGACCATGGTCTGGTTAGTAACAAACTTCAAAGAAATTTCTCTCATTTTTTTCTCTTGTTGAACGATAGAAAATATTTCATTCAGACTAGGGAGAGGCTTCCTTGTCAAGATTTGGGACGTCAAACTACCATATGACTCATTAAGTCCCATTAAGAACCTCATTGTGTGATCCTTCTCTTGATATCCAATATACAGTTTAAGTCCCCACATGTGCATATGGGAATGGATTCATAATTTATGAGTTCATCAATTAAAAATTTGAGCTTTGAAAAATAAGCTCGTACTGGCTCTTAGTTTTGCATGAGTGTAGATATCGACTGCTTAATTTGATACACTCTAGTTGCGTTTTGCTCAAAATGTCTTTGTTCTAGTTCATGTCATAGTTGATGTGTTGTTTGGGCATAAAATGTACTAGTCTTAATATTAGGTGATAGTGAATTCTATATCCAAATAATCACCATATTATTACACCGTTTCCAGTGCTTTCTCAATGGATCCGTTGGATCCATAGGTTATGTTAGAGTTCCATCTATAAACCTTATCTTGTTTTGTATACTCAATGACCGCTCCATGAAAATTGTCCATGTGTAATAATTGTTGTCATTAAGCAGTTCTGAGACAAGAATTGTCGTAGAATTCAGTGATTTGTCAAGATAATACAGGCTATTGACATTTGAAGGGTCTAGGTTTGCTATAGCCAAATCCCTAAAATTTGGGTTCGGGTTTGTGGTGGTTTGGTAAGAATTTTGGCTCTCCATTTCTAATTTACTCTGATATCATGAAAGAAAATGAAGTTCACTATCTAAGCTATCCAGAAATCAACGTTTTGTATAAAAAACAAAAAATAAAGTTTAAGGAAAATATCGAATTGCGCAGGTGATCCTCGGTGAGGATGGAAGCCGCGGAAGTGAGTAAAGGGAGAGAGAAACTTGGCGAAGGCAGAAGGCGTAGAGGCAAGCGAACAGGGAGAGAAGCTCGGTGAAGGCGGAAGGCGCAGAGGTGAGTGAGCGGAGAGAGAAGTTCTTCACGAGAGTGTGTGTGCGATATGTGTGTGTAATAACCTGCAAACAACCAGAAACAAAAAAATGCAAGAAAACGAAATAAACTATAAGCTTTGGTGTCCATTGGCGATAGCATAAAGGAAAGAAGAAAATTAGGGTTTCTTAGGAAAGAAGACGGGTTTAAATACTCGTTCTGTCCCCGAGCTCACATGAGCACAAACGCACCATATCACACATTAGTGAATCGATGCGTTTTGGTCTTTGTCACTAGGTCGAGTCAGCCTGTTTTATACAAGCCCAATAACAAAGCTTGATATAATAGTTTAACAAAAATATTAGAAAGTTGATTAGCACAAAAAATAACTTAGACATGATTTTTCTCGTAACCATTAGTTCTCACAAAACATGAAAGTCAATCTCCACATATGTTTTATAAATGTATGAAATACATGATTTTCAATAAGATAAATAATATTAACATTACCATGCCATGACATTAGTAAATATCAAAAAGAGAATCTAAATTCATCAAGCAAATGTTCTTGATTGTTCAATCATTCGATAAAAATAATTTTTATGAGTTAGACTCAGATAAATAAGTACAAATAATCATTATGAATTAGAATCACTTATAATACAACATACAATCATAAAAGATTAAAAAAAATGATTCATTTAAAAAATGTGATGTGGAAATATGAGTGATCGTTGATACAAAATTGAACTAAATAATAAAACCAGCTCAATATAAGCCGACTATTTATAATATATTTTAATTTAATAGTAATGATAAAAATAAAAATCAACAGGCATATTTATATATAAACTAAAAAAGTTAATAACATAAAATTAATATTTAAACGAATACTAAAATATAACAATATTTGATTCCTAGTCCAGATCAAAGTCTACAATAAACCATATTAAAATTTTAATGGTTTAATTTTTTTAAAAAAATTAAAAATCAAATTGAAATTAATTCCATCTAGTTAATTCTTCTTTTTTTTTTCAGACTTGGAGTATCCGAATTCTAGTGAATAATTACTAGACATAAATTTGATATTTTTAAAAAAAATATGTACAAAAAAAATCTTTGAAAAATAAGATACCAAAAAAATTAGTCAATTAAGCTTTTCCAATCATACTTTTCAAACTCTCTCTCTTTATTTTATTTCAAATTATTTAATTCTTTTTGTGATTTTATGTGTTGAATTTTAAAAAAAAAAATCCATTCGTATTTCTACCAATAAACCTAATAATAACTGAATTTTTCATTACGAAGAATTAATACTAATTATTTTTTTCATAAAGAAAACAAAACAGGTTATATTTTTGAAGCCGGTTCTCTCTCTCTCTCTCTCTCTCTCTCTCTCTTACGCTCCCATACACGGCCCCTGTTTCTTTCCCCCGCTTCCATGGGCGCTCCCGGCTCTCCTCCTCTACCACCCAATCATCATACTTTCTGCGAATCCGCATTACAACCTCCTGACGTCTCTAATTCTTCCACTCTAACGCTCGACTCTCATCTTCCTAGTTCCATCTGTGATAACCAGAGGAAGAAGAAGAAGAAGACGAAGACGAAGACGACGATGAATTCCCAGAAGAAGAAAAGATTAGATATTGAAGATGTCTCCTTGTCTGCGCCCTTATCCCTTTCTTGCTCCCCTTCTCTTAATTCTTCTCAGAGGCTCACTCGCGTACCTTGCAGACGGCGCAATCCTGCGGTTCGCTTCGGTGCGGTTCGGCCAAGTCTCGGATGGCGTGATGTGAACACGTTGGCTCTTTCTCTGGGGATGTCGTTTGCTGCTTTCGTTGACATGGTTAGTTGGACTTCCCCCTTCGCTTGTTTTTCTTTTTTCAAAACAGAATTTTTATATGTGTATACGTGGATGTATGACACAGGACTGGCTTCTCTCTTTTCTTTTTGGATTTAGTATTGGTTGGAGACAAAAAACGAAGGGATTGAAAATGTTGATTACTAGGGTTTTTTCTTCCAATGTCCTCAATGTTAGTTCCTCTGGCAATTTGATTTTTTTCTTCTAAAAGGTTTACTTTTTTTTTTTCGTATTATCGTGTTTTGGATTAAAAAGATATGATTTTGATTACGTATAACTATACTTTGTAGCAATGTAGCTAAAGGTAACTGCAATTAGTGCGTGGAATTGTTCAAAATTGCTTTTCTTTTTTCCTGGGTAATTGTCCCTTATTCGTGAACTATATTTGCACTTTGAGCTACATAATGCAAATGGGGATATAAAACTTAAAATTTAGAATGCAAAAACTTGGTTGTCTAACCTAGTAAACCAGCATCTAACTTAAAATACCCAATTAAGCTACTTGTTTTTCTTTTATAATTGGTTAACCATGGAATTTTTTCTGGGAAGAATGATTGCTTTATTGGTTTTTCTGTATGTAAATGTTTATTTTTCTGTTCAGGGTGGATTGTGATTCAAAGATAGTAGGCTTTACAGATTCTTGATTGGACATTTTCTGCAGATGACACCATGACAGAAAGTGTGCTACTAGTTTAGGTGTTTGGTAGTAGTTCAGTTTCTTGAAAGGCAAAAAGTGAATGCAACTGATTGTTGAACAATCAATCTCTCATGTTTTATGTGAGCTCATGTGGCTAAAACACCTCTGCCTACTGTTCCCACATATTCTGAGTTGAGTAGAGCAGTGAGACATTTGGTGCGACTCATCTTGGCTCCACTAATTTTCCCCCTTACTCCTCAGTCCCA